AACGTGGCTTTGTCTTACATGATAGTACATTAGCTGCTTTTAGTAATGGAAATGTGTTGGTGTCATTATCTATAATACTGTCCCTGGTATTATTTGATATCAGATTGGGACATTTTCTCCCACCCCTGCTCAGGGTCATCTGTGCTGGGAACAGTTTTCATTAGAACTACTTTCTAAAATAGAAATAGTCCCTGTGAACACTGCTGACTTTGTGTCCTGTGGATTATTCTGAGTAACAGGGGTGACGCTGTTTCTGGAAAAAGATGTTGCTGTCTAATTGTTTTGAACAATGTAATATTTCAGTGCTGTGAGCAGCATAAATCTAATTTTGCTCAACTCAACAGTACTGGGTTAGAGGCAGGAAGCTCAGAGGTGGCCGTCTTATCAATAAATTAAGTCTGACGTCCCCACCTTGTCTGTGACATAGGGTTGCAAAAATATTATCGAAATGGCCAATATAGCAAGTGCAATATCTAAAACACAGGAGCTGCAGTTGTTTTTTTCGTGGGATTTGATATAAACAAGTGAAAATCTGAGTATCACCAGTCTTGAAATGCTCCTCTGTAATTTGGGTGAACTAGCCCTTTAAACTCCACCACCCTCTTCTCTCCTAATGTCCTCCTGTGCTATCACTGACTCTGCTCCCTGTCGCCCCCTGCAGGTGAGCTGCGGCACATCACCAAGCTGAAGCCGTGGTCCCTGTTTGATGTACTGGTGGAGAAGTACGGCTGGGCGCCTGAAGACGCCGGCCACTTCACCCACTTCCTTTTGCCCATGCTGGAGATGGTGCCCGAGAAGAGGGCTTCGGCTGGCGAATGCCTCAACCACCCCTGGCTCAACTCGTAGCCATGATCTCCGATCAGACGCCCTCCTCCCCTTGCCCCTCTCCCCCCCCAACAGTTAGCCCAAACATCACCCCCCTGGTGGCAGCCCGTGGAACAACAGCATGGAGAGACGCTGGAGACAAACAGAGTTGGAGTAGATGATTAAGACTTATTCTTTCCTGTCTTAACCCACACGTCCATTACATGCTTATCTGAATAGGCTTAAGTCCCACACATCACCTCATCTGTTCCCATAAGGAATGTAAGGACAAGCTTATAGGGATAACGTGACATAGTGGCTGTGTCTTCCAAAAGATCTCCCCCCAAAAAAAAGTAAAATTGAAGAAGGATGCTGCTCACGTAAAAAAAGAGAAGCCAGGCTCTGTCTGAAAGAGATTCTTCTTCTCTTCTGCCGTCAAGATGTCAGCCAGTCCCTTCCATCTAATCTCCTCCAAATTCTCAGTTTTACCTTGTTTGGATCCAGTCATGGGCCACTGACAGCTGCTGATCTTTTCAGTGACGTGATAGAAAAGTCAACGAGAAGCTCCACATCACAGTGCTGGCGGCCCAGAGCTCCATCTGCCGTGACCTTTACATAGCCAGGGCCTCAAACACAGACGCGTTTGTGTGTTTTTGAGAGATAATGAGCGCTTGTGCCTGTGCTCATGATCTGCCTACATGGACACTTCTCCTCTCTTTCCAGCCCCTTCCTTCACTCCCACACTCTGGAAGAAACACCCACGTCAGACTAAAAGTTTACACCCTGATTTCTTCCACACATCCAAACCCAAAACTTCCTTCTTTCCTGTTTGGTTCCCCATTGACCCCTCCTTCTAAATGAGCTGCATGCTCCTAACAGGGGCCACCTCAGAGAACTGGAGGGCAGCCAGTCCTCCAGGGGGCACCACACTGACAGTTGCCGCTCTGATAAAGACAGACAGAAAAAGTGGGGGATGAGCGAAAAACAAAACTACAATCAACACGGAGGAGGACTGCTTAAGACTATTTTTAAAATGCATGGAGAGACTGATGGATCAGCATGAACGGCTATGACAAACGGACGATGGATGCGTTATTTTATTTGTGCATTTCGCTGATTTCTTTCCTGTTTCATCGCCTCTCTTGGACATTCTGTTAGAAAGATTTGTGTTAGGATATTTTGGTGCCCCCTCTGAGGAAGGTCACTCTGTTACAACCCCTTTTCTTCTGCAGCTTTTGACATTCCTAAATCTTGGTTCTCTGCCATCATTCCTGACTTTTATTCCCAAGAAATTCCATTAAGTCCTGTTGTGGCACGTTTACCTGATCTGATTGGTACTATTCCCCCTTTTTTCCCCCATAGAGGAACCCTTTGATCCCCCAAGCTACTCCAGAAAGGGGATGGTCACATGGAGGTTGCACTTGTCTTTGTAGATGTCCTTCAGGGATTTGAAATCTTTGTACATAGAACTGAGATCTTGCAACGCAGATAAGAAACCGTGGACAAAGTTTCAACACACAAGCATCATTCCAAAAAAACACAGAGGCTGTTGTTGACATATCTTAACTTCCTCTGATACAGCTGGGGGAAGGGTGGGCCACCATAGCTCCGGCCCTGGAGAAATGTTCAGACTGAACCGTGCCACCCGGTGGCTGAACGAGAGTACTGCATTGCCACACACACACACACACTGCTGCTGCTCTCAGTGCCAACGCTCCAAGACGTTCCACTATATCTCTCCACTTAATCTCTATTTCTCTGTCGCACACACACACACACACACACACACACACACACACACGGACACACACAAAAACTCGCATCATCACAATTAGTCCAGTTGCCTATTTTTCGCAATAAATGAAAAAAGATGAGTATAAGTAAATGGTGAAATATTTTTAAAAACTATTTAATTCATTAAAAAAAAAGAGGAAAAAAAAAAAGAAAACAACTTTTCTCTGGTTGTTGTGACCGTGACAGAATCTCGTCTTATACTGAGGTGATTGTGTTTGTCTTTTAGAGATGTTTTTATTTCTTTTGTCATCATAATTATTATTATTAATTATTATTATTATTGAAAGATTTTTTTACACAGTTGTCACCTCTCCCCCTCCCTCCTTACTTGAACAGTGCTGCTCTGTCTGGGCACTTGATGGTGATACAAAAAAAAGAAAAAAATCAACAGTTTTGCAATAAAGGGTATGTGATGAGTTTTTTTTGCACCAAAACCTCCTGATCTCACTCTTTCAGCCATGCTGACTGTTCTTCCTGATGACATTGACAGAACCGCGTCTCTTGTCTGTGTTTTTCATTGACAGATTTAATAAAATTGTAAATTAAAGGATCCCGTTCCTTTTGATGACGTGAATTTTCTGCATCAGTCAACCTCACTAAAAGGGTGAGAAAACTTACACTAGAGGCAACAAAAAACAAAGATCAGTTAACATAGATTCCTTTTTATTGATATGCATTATTCATACAAGTGTTCCCACTATTTTAATGGAAAGCTGAAAGACATGGGTCAGCTGTTGAGAACAATTAGCCAAAGGTTTCACATGTTCAGTGTTACAGTACATTGTGATTCACACTAAAGCAATGGCCCATTAGACATTATCTAAGATACAATAAAAGATGTAGTGATAAAAGACATCCTGAGATCAATATCAGTCATTAAAAAGTAAAACCTATGCTTCAGTGTATCAACCAGGGAGTTTCGCAGTATTTTCTCTTATGTCGTAACTCACTACAAAGAGTCTCTGATGCCATCTGTGTGTCTGCTGATGTGTCTGAGTCCATTAGCACTCAATAAACAAGTCATGTAAAGCGCACATACTCTCGTTCATGAGGCTCAGTTAGAGGTGCCTTGAAGATGATTCTCCTGTGGGTGAAATGTTTGTATTTCAGCCAGATGGGAGTGAAGTGGAAATACTGTACCAACAGTGTAAAACTCAATGAGGTATTTAGGGCACTGCTAAAATGTAGTGATGACAGTGATCTTGTGATCCACACTTGAATCTTGTAAGCTTAAAGATGCCCGATCAGTTTATTTGTAACATAAAATCATACAACTACAGTAAAATGCCATACCATCACTCAAACTTGTGCATTAAAATGAATCCCTTTTTGCCTCTGATGCTCTTTTTACATCGTAGCCTGCTGCTTTATAACTGTCTTTGTTTCCAGATGAAACGCATGGTTCTGGTAATCCATCATTTCTGGTTGTGGAATGATTTAACTGTAGTTCTGATACTGTTGCTCCTGTTGTTTTACACATTAAATCCACCACAGAGTCAGTGAATTCATTAATGTCATCGTTTACAATGATCTCCCGGAGCATGCTCCAGACTGCATCCTGTAGGGCGGACTGACTGTCATGACCATTTCCTGACCTCTCAGGTCACTTGGGGGATGCGTCACAATTTAGTCATCATAGCATTAGGAAAATAAAGTACAGCAGGGTGTCTGCAGGTCCTTAAAACTCTTAAATTTTCTAAATATAAGGCCTTAAAGTCATTACATAGTCTTTGATTTAAATTTGTGAAGTGTTTGATTTCTTTTTGTCAAAATGAGTCAAGCTTTTCTGTGGCAAAGTACCATTTCTGACGCAAATCATTCAACCTAATGCAGTCTTTTTACTGTATACATACCTGTTTACAAAATATAGATGAACCTAACTCACTAATAATAACCATAATCCTACACATAACCTACTTCTGCATGAGACTAAATATATACGTCTTACCTTTATAATTGCAATGCTTGAATAAGACATATATTATTTGTCCAAAAATCTTAAATTTGGTTAAAAATAATCTTTAAAAGGTACTAAAATGCATTAAATTCAAGTGTCTTACACCTGCAGGCACATGTGCCATAATTATAGATTAGGGCTGCCACGATTAGTCGACTAATCGATGACTAATCGACTATTAAAATAATCGGTGACTATTTTAGTAGTCGACTAATAGGTTTGAGTCGTTTTTCATAGAAAAGTACAAAAGTACCCAAAATAATCTTATTGCAGCTTCTTACGTTCAGCTATTAGCAGCTTTACACACTCTCCCGTGACAGTGAACTAAAACCCTTTGGCGTGAGTATGAAACAAGACACTAGATGATGACTAGTAATTTTGGGGTTTGGGCAAGACAGACCGACATTTTTCAACATTTTAACACATTTTTCGATGAAATGATTAGTTGACTAATCGAAGAAATAACCGACAGATTAGTCGACAATGAAAATAATCGTTAGTGGCAGCCCTATTATAGATGTACTCTATGTATACAGTAGGGACTTAGCTGTATGTGTACTTAAGGTGCCTGTCTGTGTGTGGTCCACTGTGCTAGAGCTTTGTGTGTCTGTATGTTTGTGTGTGTTTGTCATCGCAGTGAGGCACAGTTCTTTAGCAGCAGAGGTTTGACCAAATCCAGGATGTCCAAGTTGGGATCGAGCGACCTGCCGAGACCCTCCAGCACCATGATGGCAAAGACAATCGAGGCGAAATTACTCTCCAGCTTCACCTAGAAAAACAATCGACATCAAGGTTAATAGCTCAGCAGCCAGCTTTCTGCAACAGAATCATCACATCTTCATAATTGTTTCGATGACTTTTGCTATCTTTTAATTAGCTTTGATTTTTTGACAGTAAAAAGGATGAAAGCTTATGTTCTCTCCATCAATGAGGGAGAACTCCTTTGCAAAAAAACAACAACCCGTATTCGCTCCATGACAATGATTATTCAGTACAATCAGTTCAACCTGAAGAGATAGAGTTTAAAGAGACGGTTAACACCTCAGTCAAAATTGCGTATTTACCTGTAGTGCTATTTATCAGTCGGGATTGTTTCATGTGTGTTGCAGAGTGTTGGAGATAACAGCTACAGAGATGTCTGCCCTCTCTTGAATATAATGGAACTAGATGGCACTAGGCTTGTGGTGCTCAGAGCGCCAAAAAAATACATTTGAAAAACTCATCAGCAATGTCTCTTTCCAGAAACCATGACTCTGTTACTCAGGATAATCCACAGACCTTGTTGTGAGCAGTTTCATGTTGGAACTATTTTGTTTCTACTGTGGGTTTTCTTGAGTAACTGGGTCATAATTTCTGGAAAGAGGCACTGTTGTTGAGTTTTTAAAATGTATTTTTTGGCACTTAAAGCACAACAAGCTGAGTGCCATCTAGTCTCATTACCCTGGAAGAGGCAGACATCTCTACGGCTGATATCTCCAACACTCTGCAACTCACACCAAAACTATCTAGACTCATAAACAGCACTAAAGTTAAGAGGAAAGTATGGATTTTTGATTTTGGGGTGAACTGTCCCTTTAAGATTCAATCATTCAGTACCTGTATTAAACACCTCTTATGACTACACCAACTGACATGACTTACAACAAGCGCACTGTTTCCTCCATACAACAGATTCAAAGACTTTAAGTATAGAGCATTTTAAATACTTCCATAAATGCCTAAGAGCAAGGCAAGGCAAGTTTATTTGTATAGCACATTTCAGCAATGAGGCTATTCAAAGTGCTTTACATAAAACGTGCAGCACGTGTTTTCTTGTGCTGACTCTGAGTTACTGTTTTTCTTTTTTAAAGCATCAACCAGTAGCCTCCACAACGCAGCTAGACCTCCCTAACAGCAATATAAGAGCACAGTGATTTACATTTCTTCAAGCTAAAACTTAAAAATATTGCAAGCGAAACTTGGTACCGAAAAGCTAACTGCAAAAAAAGAGCCCATACTTTTTACACGAGAAAGCCTTATTAGGATTATTGTGACTCAGTTGTTCGCTGTTGTAATGTCAATGCTCTGCACGAGATGACTGTTCATCGTAAAGAATGTAACCCCCTGATATTTTACCTTGTGTTTGATGAGTAGACCGAAGAGTCTGGAAAGCAGATCTCCTACTTGGAACTATAAACACAACAAAAACAGAGTCAATAAAACACATCAATAGTAATCGGTGATTTCCAAAAGTCACTGACCGCCATGATCAATACCTATAAACTACTTAACCAGAAAGTTTTCTATTTAGAATGGATGGACCTTTGCAAAGCAGTATTAACCAGTAAGAGAACAAGTGTTGCACTAAGGCAAATTTGTTTCATCTGCACAGGGACAGCGGGAACAGGGAAGCAAGCAGTGCTTATTAAATCATGACAGAGCCAATACGAAGCACACGTTAGAAGCAAGAACCAAAGATCCAGAAGAAATCTGGACATCAAACCGTCGTGTACTATTACAGTAACAATCACAGAACAATGGTAAAATTCAACTTCTTTTCTAATGTTGTAACATAATAACACAATAACTGAAGCAAAAAGAATAATCATGACCATCGTAAGGTCATCGTCATGTGACCCTGCATCAGAAACACAAATCAGACACAGTAAGAAAGTGCAGGTCGAGGTTCGTACCTTTCCCAGAGAGAGGGATTTGCTGAGGGCCTGGTCCACCAGCTGGGCCATCTCCTTCTTAAACTGCGGTACGTCTTTGCATTCATTGGCCCGAGCGTGATGCAGGAACAATTCAGCCACTCGCTCACCCTGAAGAAAAGAAAACAGCAGCAACAGATAGTTTGACACAGATTACATTCCTTCATTGTCTGACATTGTTTGGTATTTTGAAGGCTGACTGGGTTTGCAGTGGGAATGTTCAATATTTAGAAATGTGTAAAACGAGTTTCAGCTTGGTTCTCGTATGTTCTCAGTACATCGCAAAACCTTTAAAATCAGTATCGTTTCATATTGTGGGGCCTCTGGTGATTCCCACCCCTGCACAGTGTACGCGTCATTACCTGCTGCAGCACCACAGCCGTAAAAACAGCCTTGAGGTTGGCGAGATCGTAGTCGCTGAGCTGGGCTACGATGCCAGCATCCAGCAGCACCAGCTGGAGAGGACATGGGACGGGCCTGATGCTGACCACCACTGTGTCCCACAGGTCAGTGAGGGTGGTCTTGCCATGTGCATCCCCTGACATACCAGTGCTGTCAGTGGAATCAGGATGAGGCCCCCGACACTGGACCAGAATGTTCCCAGGATGGAGATCCCCATGGACAAAGTTGTCCACGAAAACCTGGAATACAGATGGAGACGATGTAAGTGAACATACAATCAGACTGATCACACAGAACAGGGAGACATTTACATGGTGACGTATCTCACCATCTTCAGCATGGTCTCTATTCCCATCCTGGCTATTTTCTGCTTCACCTCCTGAGGGATCGACGAGCTCAGGTACTTGGATACGGGCTCACTCTCCTGAACAAAAAGGTCAAATATAAACTGAAAAATACTCATTCAACCACAACAATTCTACACTGCCTAGAAATCACAGATATTGTGTCACACAGGTTGAGTTTATTAAAGAAGACAGTAGCTCATTCTTGTAGTTAATGAAGTGTGCATTTAATATTCTAATATGGCTGACATGCTTGTGCTGTATATTTAGAGTGCAAGCTATTACTCAATCATTCAGTCCAGTGTTTTCCGTGGATTTGAAGCAGTTCTGTACTCACTTCAAAAGTTTCCACTAAAACGGTCCTGGTGACAAATGGTCGTAACGTAGTTGGGAACTTGACGTAATCCACATTGCGGAAATTTTCCTGGAAACGCTCGATGTTCCTGGCCTCAAAACGGAGATCAATCTGAAATAAAAAATCAGCAGATTAGACTTCTTTGCTATGAGGCTATTTGTTTTCATGCTGCAGGTCTAAGCACCTCAGTTATTTTACTTTAAATTCTGTCTTGCCTCTATACAGGCATGAAAAGACATTTAAAGCTGTCTTTATTGATCACAAAAAGACAAATCATATGTGTCATTTAACCAGTAGCGTGAACACAAAGACAAACAACTCAAATTCTGTATAATTTAAATGGAGCAGTGTGAAAGATTTAGGGAGATTTAGTGGCATCCAGTGATGAGGACTGAAGACTGTAAGCAGCTGAAACTTCTCCTGGTTAGAATTTCTTTCGTAGGGTCACCCAGTAGCTCAGTGGGTAAAGCAGGTGTTCCATGTACAAAGGTAATGTCCTTGCTGCAGCGGCCACGGATTCAATTCCAGCCTGTAGACCTTTGCTGCATGTCATACCCTCTCTCTCTCTCTCTCCCCTTTTCGTGCCTAAATACTGTCCAAAAATAATCTTAAAAAAATACTTCAGTGTTCATTTTTCAGGAGGTTTTTAGCAGAAGCCAGATTATCTGATCCCAGTGTTTCTCAGATGCTACTCTGCTCGTCAGAGACGGGCCACTAGCCCAGCATGGGCTAATTTGTGCTCACCTTTTTTTCTGATAATGTCAAACGTTCAGGAGGTTTTTAGCGGGAGCCAAATCATCCGCAGAGGCCTCTTCCTCTCCAAAACAAATGGACAGAGTGATTTACAACGGTAAAAACACTGAAGAAAGCAGATTCACATTTCAAAATATCTGTTCTTTTCCACACTGCTTATCCTTGAGGGGCTGCTAACGGCTGCTGGACTCTGTGGACAAGGACCCGCTCCCTATGTAGATATAAATGGCTCACTTTAAGGTAAAAACCCCACAAAAATTCTTATTTCTATGTGATTATACACTAAAGAAAACCTATGTATTATATTATATTATACCTCTGCCAATAAAGCCCCCTAAATCCTACACACTGGACCTTTAAATGTGGAGGGTCTGCATGTTCCTACCTGTTTGGTCATGAGCTTCTCAAACTCGTCTACTACCTCACACAGGCTGAGCCACTTGAGTCCAGGCAGGCAGTTTAGGAGCCAACTGCCTGCTTTCATTAGCAGCAGGTCAATTTCCACCTGTCTCCTGACGCCTGGATGAATCACCTGTCACACACCAAAAACAATATATGAACATCTGCTGACAGGCTTAAAAAATGCACGACAAGCTACTCATAAAGGCAGGATTTCATATTTTTTAGAGACTTTTTTTAGACACTGTAGTGTGGCTATTATTACCTTAATAGCCACAGGTATCAGGTGCTCCTTCTCTGTGCTGCTCTCCTTATCTCCCCCCTCTGTGTGACTTCTCTCCTCATAGCCATCGTCCTCCTTAGTCCCCCTCCAGAGCTGCCACAAGGACCTGGCCACTCCTCTCAGACCAGGAATCTCCCATGCTTCAAGCAAGTCTTCTTTCTCCATCTCCTCCACCAGTGAGTGGAAAGCTGGGTCATCCACCTGGTCCGCCTTCGCCCAGCCTCTGTACACCTGTGCCACACATCCTGAACCCACAGGCTCTTTGCTCTCAAACACTAAAACCTTCCTCCAGCCCTCCCCGAAAGCCCTCCGGAGACACTGCTTGGTGTGGGCCCAGGAGTGAGGAGGCACTCTTACATGAAGCCTAGAGAAGCGCTCACAAAACTCCTGAGAGAAGACGTCCCGCCTGGTGCTGGCCCACTGCCCCAGCTTAATGAAAGTGGGGCCAGATGTTTCAGTCACCCACAGCAGAGCATCCAGCCAGCAAGACGCCCAGCGAGTGGACACCAGAACCAAGGGGGACAAGAGGAGAAGGGGGCCAAATTTGAGGAGCAGCACCAATGCACGAAAGATAAGGCGCAGAAAAAATATTACTTTGTGCACTTGCACTTTGGCAAGAGACTTTCTTTCAGCAGTGTGGCGTGGGACAGTTGCTTCCTGGCATGTGGCTGCACAGGAAGATGCACTGACTGCACCCCAACATAACAATGTAACCTTGGGTATCTGGGTGAAAATCTGCCCTCTTTTAGCAAAGCATGCCCTGGAGTTCTGGATGAGTCTGGTTCTGGTGAAGGAGCCTGCTCTCTGGAAACTGTACCTCAGTCTGAGAAAGACTGCTCTTGCTCCAAAGATAGACATCATGTGAAATGACTGCTAGCTCAGTCGAGGAGGTGAATTGGTCCACATGTGCCTCTTTTATTACAATACACCCTTTTGCAAAGTCATTAGTAAAAGGTGACTCCAAACTCGGAATAACCTTTGGTCACAACGTAAACATCTACGAGCTCATGGCGGGTATTTTACCTTAAAAGGAAGTGGCGACCTAGAGCAATGCTACATTAAACTAGCTACCTACTGTACCTATTTTACTACAAATTCCTTTACCTTACGGTCAGTTACTGTATTTTCCTGTAAACGGGAAGTTACTGCATTGCTTCTTGTCCCACTGTCGACGAGTGAGACGTTTCATTCTTCAGCTGGCGTTACTGCACAGCCACAGAAACACCATGTACCTGCACTGGAAACACAGCAGTTAAAAACAAATACATTCCAGCCGTTTCACTTCCGGGTATGACGTAGCGCCGGCAAGATCACGTGGCTTCGTCTTAAAGTCGCGCGACAGAAGAAACAAACAAACGGCTGGTTATTAATTAATACAAGACGATTGTTGTTGTTGTTGTTGTTGTTGTTAGTGAGTGCGTTTTTAGCTTAAATGTTGTAAGAGTTATTAAGCGTTTATAAGTCGTGTTTTTTCGGCTGTTAAAAAAATGACAACCGTTATTTTTCAAGCTAACTACATACGGAGACCAACTGACAGAGATCGCGGTATGTTAAACGGCTAACATTAGCTGGCTACTACTGAAAATAAAACTCTCAAACGACCTACATATTTAAAATTTAGGACACTTCTGTCAATTAAGTGCAGAAACGTCTACTGCCCTACAGATGGAGACATTACACACCTTATTATGGGTGCCCGTGTCAACAGGTAGACCTTAAACCGTTACCACAGACTTCGAGCTGTTCTCCTACCAGAAGGGAGCAAGGGAATTAAGAAGGAAGCAAGGAAATGAGGTCAGAAAAGAAGTGAGCGTACTAACTGAGACAGTTGTAAGTTTATAACTAGACCTTTTTCACGGCAGACATTTTGACTTATCATTGCAGGAAAGGCACAGGTGGAACAACTAACATCAAGTATGGCTCTGTTACATTAAGTGTCTCAGGAAGCCTTTCCAGTGAGGCACTATGTATAATACCAAGACCCTAGACCTGGCTCATCAAAACGGAACACTGCCTTCATTAATTTTATTACAGGCTTCCACTGCTTTGGCATGTCAGAGTGTCTGAAAGCTGTGAAAATGTGTTTTTGTTATAAAAATTAATCGCCCTACAATTAAGAAAGGGCCTGCCACAGAAGCCCATGGAGCTATAGAATAAAACAAAAGTTTAAATTCTTAAAGTTTCCTTTTGTTGGCTATCACAGTTTTAAAGAGCAGACCTTAGCAACTAAGTCAGCAAGCAAACTTTTTGTACACAAAAGGTAAGAACAGAAGTTAACTGCTTTACAGAAACAAGAACAAGAAGGAGGTATCAAACTGTATAGAGTTGTAGTGTGTGTCTGAAGTTTTTTTTTTTATTAAATGTGCATTCAGTTGGCTTCTGTGAGGCCTTTTGTAAGTTTAGGAGCAATAATGGAAAGCAGCAACTCTAGGTACTGGGGTTACAGCCATGGGCGGATTATAAGACAATGAGCCCCTGGGCACAGATATACAAAAGGCCCCGCCACCTGTCCTACACAGGAGCAAGACACTCAGACATTGTGGTGGTTTTGCCTCTGTTTACTTGCGTTTTCATTTCGGCGAGCATGTTAACAGGTTAGAGCATTCACACTGCATCTGTTCTACGAGCTGCTCGAGTCACGTTGCTTTCACGAGCAAGCTTGAAAATAGAAGAGACGCCGATTTTTTGAGTGAGTCGTGAGCGAATGGTTGTGGTATTCAACAAAAAACACGAGTTTGCGTGTGTTGTAACCCCTCTCTGCCACCGTAGACATCTCCCCCTTGACCAAGCGAGACAGGCACATGTTTCATGTACTTACCCATTTGTAGTGCTAAATATTAATTCTCCAAGCGTTGGAATAATCACAGGTGTGCAAACCTGTCCACCCTGGGCTTTGGGTCCAAACGCACTTCTTCTTCTTCTTCTTCTTTGGGGTTTATTGGAGATTTGCAAACACGGTGCACTACTGCCACCAACTGTTCAGGTGTGGTTTGTATTTTGACGGGACAGCAGCGGCTGCTGTGCGATGCTTCTGTTCAGTTTTGGTGTGAATACACGTGCTGCCGCTACGCTTGTGGACCACTTAACGAGCGCTACGCAAACGCATCGCTTGCGGTGTAAATGAGGCCTTAGTGACATTTTGTAGGTGAAGGCCAGGGGTGTCCCCATATTTTAGGCCGCTAGGCGCATGCCCAGTAAGCCTGTTTAGGCCGCAGCTAATGATTGTTTTCATCATCAATTTTTGATTATTATTTTCTTGGTTAATGTGTAGGCTTTAAAATTGCAGGACCTCCTATGTAAGTTGGAAGATATTATTGCAACATTAATCATTGGACAGAGCAGAATTACAGTATGTGGTCTGAACATTAATGGAGGTGACATTAAAAAGTACTTCCTGATAGGATACTGTGTTTTCCTGAACAAAGTTTCTGAAAGATGACTTAAGGGCTTTATTATTTTTCTGCACTATTGGTATGGCTGGCAAAATTTGTGTCTGAGCCATAAAGGAAAGGAGGAGGCAGGGAACGAAACACACCCTGGGTTTGATTTCATTGTCATTTCCTCTACTTAAACCAGAGGTCCTGGAATCAGCCTACTATGCACCATCAAGGACTGAGAACTTGTCCCAGCCATGTTCCCAGTCACGGTATGAGTCCTCTGGACAGTGGGTTCGGTACGCTCCCAGGATCCCATCTGTGGGCCTGATAGAGGACTCAGCAACACAATAAGGTGGGATAAACGCCAAACAGATGTTACCAGCCCCCACCTCCCACCCTGGTCCCTTCACAGCTATTGATGGACAAGCCAGGCTTTTTTAGATCTCTCTTGCATTTCAAAGGCAGGGTCAGGGTTTGGGCTCAGAGGTCAGCAGGATAATTGCGCTGCAGAGGTGATGCTGTTAGACACTTTATGAAGGCTGCTCAGTGAAATGACTGTAGGAATGCAGCTGAGATGCCTATAAATCCATTTGTGGAGAAATACTTAGTTGTATAGTCTACCTGAAGAGTAAAATGAAATTACAAGGCAACCCTGATATCCAATCTTGTGTGCTCATACAGTTTTATGCATGCTGTCCTTTCGCTTGTGTGTGCAGGTGTGTATTTTTTACTGATGGAAAGTAACTAAGCACTGTATGTTTACCCCTTTAGACAAGAACTGTGATTGTGTGCACTTTTGAGGCACTTGTACTGTACATTTCTTAAATATTTTCATTTGATGCTGTACTTCAGTTAAGAAGGGATTTTTTTTTCAACTTCATTTATTTAACAGCTATGGTTTCTGGCTACTTTGTCGATTTAGATTTTACATACAAATCACATGACCACCTTATAAAATATGATGCATTGTAATAGATTAAAAGAGCACTGTATAGGATTCATAGGATTTAGTGGCATCTGGCGATGGGGATTGCAGATTGCAACCAGCTGAACTTTATTTCCATGTGCCAAACATGACCTCCAGCTTAGAAGTCCCTCACTGTTCATCGTTCAGGAGGATTTTACTGGGAGCTAAATTGTCCGCAGAGGTCTCCTCCTCTCCAAAACAAAAGGAACCAGTGATTAAAAGTAGTAAAAACACTGAACAAAGCAGTTTTGTGTTACAAATCAGTGTTTCTTCGATGCTGTTCAGCGTGTTGCAGACAGGCTGTTAGCCCAACAGCTGCTAATGTGTACTCATCTTATTTCTTTGATAACTGAAGATCCAGATGTGTAGGAGATTTTTACGGGGTGCCGACTGCAGACTTGTCTGCATAGGTCTCCTTCTCTCCAAAGCAAAAGGACCTGGTGATGTCAACTGGTAATTAAAGCAGTTTTCGCCTGAAAATAAAGATGTGTTTTTCCTACGCTGCTTGTCGTGGAGGGCTACTAACTATGGTGGCTGACACAAAAACCCGAAAATGCAAATTGTCCTATTTAGAGCCAGTGTTTGGTTTGTCTATTCTGGGCCACTGTAGAAACATTGCAGTGCAAAATGGAGGACTCCATGGAGGAGGACCCGTTCTGGTACTCATTCTAAGGTAACAAAACACGATAATTCTTATTGTTAGATGGTTATACACAAAAGAAAACATATTTAATATATTCCATTTCTGCCATATCCTCCTAAATACGCATTGGGCCTTTAAACTACCAAACACTGCATAAAGTAGTTACAACAACATAAAAGCTACACTACAGCTTAAAGTTGCTGCTGTTTTGTATGAACAACTGTCCAAAATCAAGACATATTGAGTTTACTGTCACAAAATACAAAGAAAAGAAGCAATATAATCACATGTGGGACTGGGTAATGTTTGGTATTTTAGCTTGAAAAGATACCTTAAAGATTACACAATTAACACAGTTGCTGATTGAATAATAAAAAATTTCTGTTAACTGACCACTCAATAACTTATAGTTCCATCTCTAATCTCCATTTGCCCCAGCTTTACTACTGTATTGCACATTTTTATTAAATAAATTATTTAAATCTAAGATGTCACTTTAATGGGTGCCAACCATATATCAAACGGGAATTTTTCAAAAGTGTCTTGTGTATCATTAAATACCCATATCTCTATAAATGAGTAGCTGTAACACATTTTCAATATGAATATTGTAGGCTTTGAAAACTATCCGCAAAACATACATTTATAATAATGGACTTGCCAAAGAGGGCCTGTGGAGTTGAACAGGTTAATTATTAATCACTCTGGTCATCAGTATGCATGTCCAGCCTTGTTTCCTGCACTCTCACTCTTTTTCTCCCCTCTTTCCACAGGAGCATTGAGTTACTCTGCAGCCCTGGGCCTGATGGGGAACTGGACTCCGCAATTTGTATTCCCTCACAGAGCAGAGGTCAGCGGTAATCAACCCAAACACTGCCAAACCACTCTCTGTCTCACCACACAGCATTCAGCACACACCACTTATGCCTCTACACTACTTGTTGTTGTTGCTGTTGACTGGCACATGTGAACCAGTAAACAAAGTCTTTTAGAGATAAAATAGATGAACATGTTGTCCCCTCATTGAGAGAGGAAGAGAGGCCCTTGGGCTTCTCTAATTGGTTCCCGGAGGAGGCTGTTATTTATGTATTCAGTTTTGCTCAGCTTTGCCCCTTCCTGCTTCATTCCTCTTCTTTTTTTTGAAGCAGGACACTTGGTTTCCCCGGCAACTAGGGCTCCAATCGGCCGGCCAGCTGCAGATTAGTTCAGCGGTGGGGGGTTTAGGTGGGTGGGAGGGGATGTGGAAGGGGGGGCGATGATGGAAAATGGAGAGGGAGGAGAGAGAAGAGAGAAGGAGGGAGGAAGGGAGGGGGGTGGGAAAAGTTTGAGAAGGGGAGAGCCAGCGTCATTCAGAGATAGGAGTCCGAGTGGGTGAGTGTGTGTCTGGGAGCTGAGAGTGGAGAGAGAGCTGTAAACATTTTAGCCCGGAGGCTGGATGGGAGGAGGGATTTCCCTGACTTTGTGACTTTTTCAAACTTTTCTTGCGCTTGGAGCGGCACTCTGTGTCTTCCTCTGTGTGTATATGTGGGAGGTACAGGCAGGGGCT